TCTCTTCCTCTGTGGGTTCCCCCCTCTTGGAGGAGGGGCATGATTTCCTGCTCACAAGCTAGTTGGTTTCTGGGAGGAGTCCAAAGACCTGATTCAAACCTGGAACCAGCTGGTGTGGCCCTGGCACAATGTGTGTGAAGCCAGGCCCAGGAAGGGGCCCTTCCCGGGGACCCAGCCTGCAGCAGGGAGAAGTGTGCAATGGGAGCTAATCCAGTCCCAGCATCGGGCTCCCCAAAGGACGGGGACCGGCAGCATCCCTGCATCCCAGGCTCGGGGTGCGCGCATGGCGCTGGCTGCCCTGGAGACTCCCATGGCCTGGTCAGCTGTGAGCCCAGCGGGAGCAGAGCGGCAGAGCCACCCACCACGCAGGTGCTCGCTCCAGCCTTGAGCTTGCCTCAGCGCAAATTTCAGAAACGAGAGCTGTGTGTGAGCAGACTTTTCTTCCTCACGGGAGACACTCTAGTGACCAGTGCTTCCCACAGCGTAGGTGAGCTTCAACCATCAAGATGACGCAGGAGCTGCGGGGAGTAGGTGAGGAGGGAGAGGAGCAGGGGCTCCGTTAGCAGAGACACTTGACCCCGGTCTAGTTCCCCCAGTTCTGGAGTAGAAGCCGGAGGAGCATGTACACGCACACCCACACACGTGCACACACACGTGCACCTACACACACGGGCACACACACAGACAGACATACTCGCACACACAGACACACACATACATGCACACAGACTTACATGCACATATGGACACACATACCTGCATGCACACATACACACACACAGGCACACACAAATACATGCATAACACAGACACACATACGTGCACATACAGACACACATACTTGCATACACACAGACACACACAGACACACACACACACGCAATCACTTTCCTTCTACTTACCTGTCGCATATCCAGCAGACCTTGAAGCGTCCGTTTGGGCCCGGCATTATGCCGGGCTGTGGTCAGCTCTCGTTGGGCTGAGTTGGCACAGCCACACCCTGAGCAGAGCTGATGAGCGTGGCGGCACACTGGACTGACAGGTGGGTCCTGACTTCCCTGGTGACGGTGTTTCCTGTGGAGCCCTGCGCGTGTTTGAAGCTGCCTGCCTTCCCTCTCTTGTCAGCATGGGTGCTGGCGTTTGCAGTGTCCAGAGAGCGGGGCCTTTGTCCCTTTGTCCCGCTTGTTTTCTCGGAGAACCCTGAACCCAATGAGTTTTACCTCACTTTCTAAAGCACCCTGAAAACTCTGAGCACACGTTGGATACTTTCCCTCAGGCCCACCTCTCAACATTTTTATTAAATTCCCTTGTTCATGAGTGAGTCAATGAGAGAACAGGCTCTGGAGAGAAGCCCTCCCTTCCTTCAGTTGTTGGCTCTACTCCAGTACAGGTCTGGGAAGTTTCCTAAGTCCTCTTTTCATTCTTTTTAAAAGTTTTTTTATTTATTTTATGTCAATTGGTGTTTTGCCTGCATGTATATCTGTGGGTGTCAGATCTCAGAGTTACAGACAGTTGTGAGTTGCCATGTGGGTGCTGGGAATTGAACCCGAGTCCTCTGGAAGAGCAGTCAGTGCTCTTAACTGATGAGCCATCTCTCCAGCCCTCCCCATTTCCACTCTTGTTTAATTGTTCTTAATATTTGTTTCTGCGGGGCCTCCTCCTGCCTCGGGTCAAGGTGGTAAGTGGGCACTCGCTAGAGCTGCCTGGGGCTGGGAGTGAAAGCGCACACTCCTTCAGTTACGGGAGTCCAGGTCAGCGCCAACCAGAGTTCCACGTGTGACTTGAAGGGTCAAACATGTTCAGTCCCCGGCTCCTTCCTTCCTTCTGGGCCGGGACTGTGTTCAGGGCCTCGTATAGGTTTTGCACTAGTAGTAATGCTTTCGTGTCTGTTATGATCTTGCACAGGTGGCTGGGCACTGGCTGGAATGGTCTATTGCGCATGGTCAGATGAATGGTGTTCTCAACAGGACAGCACACTCCTGCCTGTCCTCCAGTGGACTGGGAAACGCCTGTGACATAGCCCTTGCATTCTGTGTCCTGAGGCATAATAATCATGGCTCATCCAGGGACGTCTCTGGAGAAACAGGTGCTTTCGTGGAGGGTCGGGAAAAGCCACGTGAAAGAAACACAAAGGAGGTGGGCTTCTGTGGTAAAAGACCTCAACCCACAGCATGTGCTCACCTCTCCTCAGGCCAACTAAACAAACTGTGAGCCGGGCGTGAAGTCGCACACCTATAATCCCAGTGCGCTGTGGGGACTGCAGGGTCAGGGAGCTCACACAGCAAAATGCCGTCTCTAAACAAATGAAAAGGGCTAATGACCCTGAGGGTTAGTCTCCTCATGGGTCTCAAGTTCCACGTTTCTTTCTGTTCTCTCTCTGTGTGTATTCTTTCTTTCTTTCTTTCTTTCTTTCTTTCTTTCTTTCTTTCTTTC